ATCAACAGGGCGGAGCAAGCAGCTATGGCTGGTCCCCAGTCCTATCCTAAGAGGCCCCGCATCTCAGTGTCCCGGTAATCGCTGCATGCACCTCTGAGAGAAAGCCGCCCTCGAGTCTGCCCTATGCCAGACAGTCCAGTTTCTCCCCGTATGAGTCTGGGTCCCCAGAGACTCACCCGGAACTGGAGTTCAGAGCAGTCGGGGGCTTGAGACTCCCTCCCGATTGAAAAAGACAACGGCGTCCTCAGCTGCCAGCCCTCTCCACGTGCGCCGCATCCTCAGCCGCCAGCCCTTTCCACGTGCACCGCGTCCTCAGTTGCCAGCCCTTTCCACGTGCGCCTCCGTACCTCTGCACTTTACTTCCGCACCTCCTCTGAGTCTCAGTGCTTTTCTCTTTCCTTCTAGTTGTAGAATTTCCACTCAGCCAGCCTTCCTGTGGTTCTGGATGATGTCAGTTTTGTCTTTTAGTTGTATTTTTGAAGTGGCTGTGCGAGGCAGCAATTTCCGGTGTTTACCTATGCCGCAATCTTGGTTTCTCCCCAGCTCAGTTCACTCTTAATCTCATGTTTTATTTCCAAGATTTCTGATTGGTTCTTTATTAAAGTTTCATCCTCTTTGGTCAACTACTTTTGTTCGTTGATTTATTTTCTGAGTGCACTGAATTTCCTGTCAGTATTTTCTTACATCTTGTAGAGTATATTTAGAACTGCAATCTTGAAATTTGTCATTTATATCACATATTTCCATGTGTTCAAGCTTGCTTTCTAGTGATTTTTCATTTTCTTTCTGGTCATCCTTATTACTGTCGTTTTTCATGGTGTATGCTGGTCTCCTTTGATTATGCGTTTATCTCTTGAGTTCTTTCTACTACTTTGAAATATATGGTGCTGAATCTCAAGACTTTTTACTTCTGTGATCTCCTAGTCTTGAACCTCCACTGCTTCCATAAGACAATACAGCTGCACTACTTGTGGTGGGGTTTGTTTTGCTATCACCATAATGGCGATTCCTGACTTCTGTCTTGTTCCCCTCCAAGCACCCCTTCAGGAGATCAGTCACAGAAGGAAACAGTGTTCCTACTAAAATAACTCTTTGTTTAAAGTTAATATGGTCTTGGTCCCAACACCTAGGGCAACAGGAGGCAAGTTTTGGGAGTTTAAGTGGCAGCAGGACTCTGTTGTTCTATTTCTTTGTCTAAAACACTGCTGCCAGCCGGATAGTGGAGAGCTGCATGGTAGAATCCAGTGCTGTCAGGTATCTGCTGACTCTGACACTGTTTGCTTCCTTGCCACTGGGCTGCCCTCCTGCAGCTCTTTTCCTCCCAACTGAAGGAAGAGCCTGCTACCTTGGCTTTTTCCCCCTCTCCCCGCCAGCCAAGCCAGGAGCTCCCGGTTACAGGGTTGCATTTGCTGGTGGTTTCTGGTGGTCTGCACTTTTCTCCCTTCTCATCTCCCGTTTATTCCCGGTTGTCCACCTTTAGATGTTTCAATGAGCGGGTCTCTCAGGCATGTGTCTGTGTTGAGCAGGGATTTCTTTGTTGAATTATAGTTGGTTAACTTGTTGAAATTTCAGGGACAGAGGACAAGGTGTGCTCTCATACCTCCATTCCTCTGACGTCACTTCTCAAGAATCCTGAGCTAGTCTTAAAGATACATAAAACGTAGGGACTGAGAGGTTTGCCTTCCATGCAGAGAGAAGGGTCACATGGATTAATCATTAATGCATACCCATATGAGAAGGTTATCGCCTGTGGGGGGAACAACATACATTATGGTGTGACTGTGAAGTTGAACCATATGAAATTGTCAGATTTGTCCATTATTATCAACAAAAATAGTAATGTGAGGGAAAGGGTGGTGAGATGGAGCTGAAAAAGAGCCGGGTCACAAAGTGCCTAATTTTATCTGATTATAGATATGTACTCCTTTAGAGTACATGTCTCTTTCAAGTAGATAATTATTTTTTAAAGATCTATACTCAAAATAATGTGCCCTTCATTGTATGTAAATTTTGTAAAATGTACTTTTATTGATTTCAGAGAGGAAGGGAGAGGTAGAGAGAGAGATAGAAACATCAATGATGAGAATCATTGATCAGCTGCCTCCTGCATGCCCCACACTGGGGATCAATCCCACAACCTGGAATGTGCCCTTACCAGGAATCAAACCATGATCCTGGTTCATAGATTGATGCTCAACCACTGAGCCATGCTGGTTGGGCTCATTGTATGTAAATTTTACCTCAGAGGAATGAAACTGTAAAATATTGAATTCTAGTTAATAGTATATGCAAAGCAAAGTATATAGGTGGAAGTCTGCATTTTACTTTGAGATACATTAAAAAATAAAATGGAAGGCCAGGTACGTGGTTAAAGCAAACAGTAAAATAATAAAATGTTAATGGTAGAATCTTGGTGATGATTAAATACCAATGTTCACTGTAAAATTCATTCAATTTTTCTGTATGTTTAGATTTTTAAAAATATTGGGAGTTAAATTACTATAGAAATCAAAATTAGAGATAGATACTAAGTTAGACAAAAAGGGATTATTTTTCTAATTGATACAAATCTTATTACTTTGGGTGACATGTGACATATTTAGAAATCACCTAATCAGTCCTTGTTAAATCCCCTGCACCCAGAGCAGAGCCTAGATCAGTGATGGCGAACCTATGACACGTGTGTCAGAGGTGACACGTGAACTCATTTTTTTGGTTGATTTTTCTTTGTTAAATGGCATTTAAATATATAAAATAAATATCAAAAATATAAATCTTTGTTTTACTATGGTTGCAAATATCAAAAAATTTCTATATGTGACACGGCACCAGAGTTAAGTTAGGGTTTTTCAAAATGCTGACACGCCGAGCTCAAAAGGTTCGCCATCACTGGCCTAGATCGTAGCAGGTGCTCAGTAAATATTTGAATGTTGAATATTCCCTAATCTCTATAATCATATAAAATTCTTGAAGTTGTATTTGAAGTCCCAAATACAATTGTGCTGCATACATTTATTATCTTAGAAGGCCTCAGATAATACAGTTTCACGTAATACAAATGCACTATGTATCTCTATATATAAAAGTCTAAGCGACGGTTCCACCAGTAGCTATGACGCACACTGATCACGAAGCGGCAGACGCTCAATGCACAGGCATGGAAACATGGAACAGACTGATTAATCTCAGAGGGAAGAGGAGAGGGGGAAGGGTGGGAATAGATTAACCAAAGATCTTATAATGCGTACTAGAGGCCCAATCCATGCACCGGTGGGGTCCCTCCGCCTGGCCTGTGGGGACCTGGCCAAAACCAGCAGTCCGACATCCCCTGAGGGTCCCGGATTGCAAGAGGGCAGTCTCTTACCTTGTTAGTTGTGTCCAGTGTTGGGACAACTTTTACCCCTTTAAAAAAAAAATAAGTTGAAAAAACAAGGATTGGCTTGTTGACAAATTTACTTTTCACTGTTACCATCTCCTATTTATAACAGAGGCTTCTCTTAACTTAGGCTTCCTTTAGAGTAGAGTATAATTTCATAATATTTTCCTTGTCACCAAGACAGAACAAACTGAATTTCTGAAAACTGGAAATCAAAAGTTCACCTTCTTATTTACTCTATTCTTTCCCCCCCTTCATCCTATTTGAGGAAAATACTTAGATGTTAATAGTAGATTTGGGGTAAACAAAGGGCTAGAAAATATGTTTTTAATTTCACAGGAAACTTTCTAATAACTGATTTTAGGGTAGGACTAGGCTTGTTATACTTTGTATATGAGGAATGTATAGGTTTGTGAGATTTAACCACCAGTTAACCACCAATCATTAATCCTATTTCTAAAACTCATTCATATCTGCATTGTAAATAGACAGAACATTATTTTTCTTTTAGGTCATATAAAGCTTTAGCATACAGATGTCATGACAAGAACAAAGACTTATTTCCTACATTTGAGATGTACACTGACATAAATGATTATAAGCAACAGAATATAAAATTTGTTTCTTGTTAACCACAGAAAGTAATCTGGGCTGGAGAGAAAGTAATTGCTTAGATTGATCGTCATTAAGAAAGTTACTATTAAATATATTATTTATTTTCTTTAATGTCTTTATAAATCTTTCATGTACTAAATTTTTACTTTCATATTAGCATAAAGAAAATCTGAAATCTTCCTTATCATTCTTCCCATGAATATTTTATTATGTTTATGCATGGATAAGGAATAGGTTTAATGTGTGTGTGTGCATTTTTTTAGAATATTTCCTAACATTAAGTAATTTCTTAAGAATTTTACTTAAGGAAAAGAATTCCCTAAAGTATAAAATCTCTTACTATCTTATAGATGTACTTGAGGGATACAACGGAACAATATTTGCATATGGACAGACATCGTCTGGGAAGACACACACAATGGAGGTAACATTTTGTAGTGTGTACTTGGATGTAGTTTGCAGTACAGACAGAACAGTCATTATTTGTGAAATAACTTAGCCATGCTTAAACAATTTATTTATTCTCCTTATTTATTCTTTGCTTTTTCTCACATGGTAGTACATGAATAACTTCATTGATAGAATCTGGTTCTTTCTTGAGTTTGAATAGTGATGTTGTATATTTTAAATCATATCTAGCTTTCTTTTTTCAATTAGCATAACCAAGAAATTATGAACATTTTAGAATTAAACAAGAATTTTCCATTACTTCATAATGGGAAAATTTGAATGTTTGTGTGTTTTCAATTCTACTCAGGTAATTTAATTTCTTACTCCTCTCCTTGGTCCCTTCCTCCCCCTATAACTGCCATTCCTTTCTGATAAGAACGTTTCCATAATTATCATTGCTGTTATTAGTAGATGTAGACATGTTTGAGCTTTGCTTCTAGAAGACTTTTACCACTGTTGCAGAGCTTTTGCTGCTGCTACAGAGCATCTGCTTTTATCATTTATGAGCTTACTGTATAAAGTAAGTGACAGCTTATTTAATTCTGTTAACTCATTTTCATAAAGTCTGAGAACAAGGACATTTAGCATATCCAGGAATTTGACTTGAAGTAGAAGGAACAGTGCAGATATATAAAGAAGCTAGAAACTTTTCATAGAAGATGATCATTTACAAATGTGGATAACCTAAATCTAAGGATTAAATAAAAGGCTAAGATTAATTGGTAACCCATGTGGTTATACAGTTCTTTATGTAGCTTACCTAAGTTTGTATATGTATTTATATACAGTATTTATATGTAACTTACAAAAATATGTAAATTGTAGAATTGGGTTTTTTAGATCCTTATAGAGCCATTTTCACCAAAAAATGACAATCATTACAATTCCTATTCTCTATTGACTATAATTATACATTGAAATTTTGAATTTTAATTCATACTTTACAGTTTATTGAAGAAATCTAGTCTTGTTTTCTGTTTAGGGAAAACTTCATGATCCAGAAGGCATGGGAATTATTCCAAGAATAGTGCAAGATATTTTTAATTATATTTATTCCATGGATGAAAATTTGGAATTTCATATTAAGGTAAAATCCTTGGGGAAAGGTTGTATTTTATTTTATACCTAGAATAATTCTGTTCTAAAAAGTAATAAATGCTAATTTTATTTTTAAAACATTTTAAAGTATTTGAGAATTATTTTATGGACAGATATAGTTAATTCATTTGTCATTAGATAACCTTAAACAAGTTAGCCAAGTCTCTTTTGCCTTATTTTCCTTCTCTGTAAAATAAAGGAATTTGTTTTACTATGGAACTTAAAGGTTCTTACTTCTCTAATCTAGTTCATATTAGATGAAGATACATAATGGAAATTGCTTTTTAGTTATATAAGCAGGTTAGTGAAATTAGGTCTTCTGATTAGAATATGAACTATGGCTGAGTTGTTACTGATAACTCTGTCCCCTTAGTTTAGATGATGTCTGGCACTCACTCTTCAATATTAATGATAAGTGAATAAATTATTTTATAACTTTAATTGGTTGATCTTCTTTCCTTTATTTATTTGCCTTTTAGGTTTCATATTTTGAAATTTATTTGGATAAGATAAGGGACCTATTAGATGGTAAGTTACCTTCTTGCCCTTTACTTATTTTAAAATAGCATGTGTTCTTTTTGTTTGTTGGTTTGGTTTGGTTTGTTAATCTTCACCTGAGGATATTTTTTCCATTGATTTTTAGAGAAAGTG